AAATCTCGTTGCTGGACATCTCGACGAACATTTGAAAATGGCCTAAAATGTAGAAAATTGTTATAATTATATTTTTTTAATTCGCATTAACTTGAGAACGGCTGGACTTAGGAAAAAAGTTTCTATGTGCAAAGTTATTGAAAATTATGCGTAGAATCCAAATAAATTATTATTTTACTAAAAAATATGCATTTTCATCATCTTGTAAAAACCAACAAACATTTAAAAAATTATAGATTCCTTTATAAGAAAGTTACCAGCATACACTTTTCACAAAATTTAAGGGTATTCCATCAATTTTCTTGAAAAAAAATATAAAGATCTAAGGTAAAGTGTTTTGAGATAATCATCGTTTTACGTTTTTTAAATACTAACGAAGTTTTTTCTTTCAGTGTATTTTTTCCGCAAAGATAATTTAATTACCTAAAACTTTTTCTTATATGCCATTTGCATCAGATCAATTGTTTTCAAGTTATGATTTTTTGCAAAAAAATATTCCATTTTTTTATACGCCCTTTTCAAAAGTTACTCTGGAGGAAAAAATCATATTTAAATGAAAAATGCAACCATTAGTAGCAGCGAACATGTGAGCAATGTTTCATTCAAATCAGAAGGGGTCGAGACAAAATTGACATTTTTTTTAACGATTTGAGCTGGAAATGCTCGTCTACTATTTTAAGAAATCATCATTTGAGTAAAAACGTTCTAAATCTATTGCATAATTGTATCAAAATCAGTCGACACTAGGGTGTGTTTTTAGTATATTAGATACTGGCAGTATCACATAGGGGAAAAGTTGGCTTCGGCAATACCTTAACCTATTATCGTCAGGGGGGTAAACAACGTCATTGAGAGCTCAATTTTGGCATGTGGATACATTTTGTTTCAGAGCAACTATTGGCCAAATTTGAGTGCTCTAGGACTTTGTTTACCCGTCTGACGATAATAGGTTAAGGTATTGCCGAAGCCAACTTTTCCCCTATATAAAAAGTCTTAAACATTCAAATTTGATGAAAAGTGAATGAGAGTGATACATAAAGTAGAATATGTCAATTGAATCTAATTTTATTTGAATTCGGGAGCTCACGGACTCCAGTACTGTGAGATGTACACATGACTGTACCGATTAATTATTAACTACTATTTGATATATAATAACAACCTGTCTAACCCCTCGATGAACTGTCAGAAGAACGGGAGTTCATCCTCTCGCACCCGAATAGCAGCTCAACTAGCGACAACGACATTCGTCCTCTTTCGGATGGTGATCATCGACCTCATAGGACGTTTGTGGTTGCAGCTGCGTGATGGATGATTCTCACCCGGGAGTGTATTACAAGTTTCCACAAGTACCGACCCAAATACCAAAAACTACTGGATTCCTGTATTTTCGGTATTCGTTCTGGGGTTGGAGTCCGTGAGACCCAAAATCGAAGGAAAACAGATCCAATTGACATATATTACATTGTGTATCCCTCTAATTCACTTTATATCTCGGTATTGGCTTATTCTGGTGTAAGGGGCACCACCATACTTCATTCTCGAAAAAAAAAAAAATAATTTAGGACCTTGTAGATCTATGAAAACTATTAAAAGAAGAAGTGCTAGAGATATCACCAAGAAAAAATGTCCTATGGAGTTTTGGGAAGAACTCGAAGAGAGTTTTAACGTGAACTCCAAGTCGATTGTATGGGTTCAAAGTAAAAAAATTTCAGTAACTTTGTGGAAAATTCAATGACGATTGTGAAGAGCATTCCAGGTCCAAGAAAAATACCATGAGTGATTTTGAGGGCTCAATTCCATATGAATTCTGCGAAAAATTTTAAGAAAATTTCAAAGTAGCTCTGATCAAAATGTTAATACTCCTTTTAGGTGAATTGCATACACACTTAGAAAAAATCATGTAAATTTTGGTGCTCTGAGAATGACATATACGAGCGTCAATTTTGACATAATTTTGAGTCATAACAGACGCGAAATATAGCTCAATAAAACGTACTTTTCGTCGAGCAACTTTTCAGTCTCTGAGCACTTGTTTACGTCTCATCTTTTATGTCAAAGACGTGTAAAATTAGTTATTTCTAAGTGTGTAGGAATTCAAACGAAGTTTATAATCGATACGCTTTGAATCGGATGTAGGTATATCAGATTTTTTTTGGTTTAGAATAAAACGTTATTACAAGAAAATGTTTAAATTTATTGTAGTTTAAAGATACAATATGGGTTTTGCGATTTTTATTCCTCTTTAATGAAAATTTGAACTTTAGGGTTGATACTTCCTTAACGGCATTTCTGCACAAGCTACTGGTCAACCTCACCGGCTGCTTTTTTCAGTATTTGGCCATTGAAATAGCATCCTTTGTTATTTGTCCTCTCTTCGTCCGTTTTAGCTTTGATGATACCCCAATACATTTTGATTGGGCGGAAATCCGGGCAAATTGGGGGGTTCATCCCTTTCTCAATTATCGCAATACCACTGTTGCGCACTCTTACTGAAGTGGTAGGACCTAATGAACGTTTTTCAGTCATTCGTTGATGTAATACTGCCTGTTCATATTGTTAGTGGTGATGAAAACCGGAGTCATCTGGCCACAGCTGCAGATTCCCTGCCAGATCATCAGCTAACCGCCAAACTTGTCAGCAAAAACAAATTTATATTTCATCTTTGGAACATCACCGCGACCCCTGGCAACACAAAACTTCTGTCCCAGAAGCTTTTTGAAGTCCAATTTGACATATGTTTCATCGTTATTAAGGATGCATCCGTTGAATTTGGTCAGCACCTGGTCATATTCCTTCCGGGCCCACGTTTTGGTCATATTGTTTTGTTTTACATTCCGGTTCAGTTGCCTTCAGTATCGGGCTACTTGAAGAAACCTTACCCAATGCGTATATTCCGTATATATACTGCACCGAGCTCGTCGGCCAAATCAATGTCCGAAAGTCCTGAATTCGCTTTGAAAGCCTTTATAACGTTCTGACGCAGTTTCCGGTCCATTGTACCTCTTCGATGCCTTGATTGCACCTTCCGAGAAGTAGACAAACGTTTCTTGAAACGTTTCGGTACTGCACATACGGTGGTTTTGGCCATTTCGGTGCTCGTACCCGACCATGTCATGTCAGATTTTCATATCTTGTGTGCAGAATTACTTAATACTCTTCTTCTTTTTTCTTCCAGCACGTGGCAATTCAAGAAAACATAAACTTTAAAAAAAAAGTTTTTGAACATAATTTCTAGAGAAAGACATTATAAACTAATTTCTGTCAAATTATTCCAGAGCTGCCCTCTAGGAGCGCTGTACCGGACAAATAGAAACGTACCGACTCTAAATTGGCAGGGCTTTAAGACATTTTTAATGAACTTCCGGAGAGAATCTCAAATTTATTTTAGAAGGATTCTGAAAAGAACTCTGTGAAGGAAATTGACGTTAAAGGATAATTTTGAAGACTTCGAATACAGAACCAAATTCAAGATCCATGAAAATGCTGCCCATGTGATTGCTTCGGATCAATCACATTCGGATTTATATTTAATTTAAATGTATATAGCAAATGATGGGAGCATTTCCAGAATTCCGGGAAAAAAAACAGGAAATCGCTAATTGGTCACCATGAGTTAAATCTCATGCCCCATTCACATTCAAGATTCGTTAGTTACTTAATTCGAACACATCGCTTTTTGCCAAAGCGAACCTTGCTGCATACCCAACCAAATTATCCTACATTCCAGTGGTTTCTCGTGGAAGTGCAGAGGATTTGTGTCGTCTTCCAACAAAGTGAGTATCACGTCAACACAATCCAACCCATTCCTTTTGTGACCTACATCTGGACGTGGCCGGCACCGGTATTGCCTATTACAAAGTTTTTACGCAGGATGATAGCTGATCCCAAGCATCATCTGGTTGCTCTCTGTGTAATTACAGGTGATCTGGCAATAACTAAGTATCAACCGGTCAATCATGCTCAAGCTCTCTCAATAATACTATCTAACATGAAGCTTTAGGGTGATAATTTATTGGTGATTTATTGAGCGAAGGGCCATTAATGCGACAGTACAAGTCATACGCACACTAACCCGTACGATGTACGAGGAGTTGATCAGATGTTCCTTAAGCTGATGTAGATTTGAAGACATACCTTTTCGGATTATTTTTTGGGGCGATCTAGTTTTTCATTAAAATTGGAGCCAGTACTTTTTCTTCGACTCCGAATCCAACTTATCATGTGCACGGCATATCATAAAGTCACCCCACAATTATTGATCCGGAAATTACAATTATACGTCAGTCCGTTCTGCGTTATTCAAACATAAATCAAAAATCAACTTCAATGCTAATCCTTCATACTGGTCGCGTGCCTTGATCGTTTGAATACATTTCACCACTCCCTAACGCATGCTCTAATTAGCAATTCCATCAGAGTCTGCACTATTTCCCACACTGCTGTGCACATCGCTTATCAGTCAGCCAGCTACAGTCGCTTCCATTCCGTCTCTCCATACGATCATCATTTAGTATTTGTTTTGATAATAATTCACACCAACACTGTGACGAGGGCGCTTCCCGCTGTTGGCATTCATTGAACAAGATCGATTGCACGATCCATTAGAAATTCCTACATCATCACTGTTACACTTTTCTCGACCTTGGAACGGTTGAACACATTTTTTTTTTTTCAAATCCGAGGTTAAGTCGACAGTTAAATAATTCAATAAACCCAATGGTACATGTGTTGTGCGGCGTGCTCACTGAGTTGGGTTGTAAATTATTTTTGGCAATTTTTGTCCCCATTTTGCATTCGCGGCAGGAAGGACGATCTGATAGTGGCTGATGGCAAGTCAAGTCAAGCTTGGAGCTGTTGGAGAATCGAGACGAGGCGAGGGTGCGATAAGGCAAAACATCGACATTTGACGTTCAGTTGAGAGAAGTGCGTTGGGTGGTAAAGATCGTCGCGACTGCTTTGGACTGAGTTCGCTAGGAATAGAGAAAGTGATTGATCTCAAACATAGAAAATATTTTAAGCTGGTTTTAGTATGAAAAATTAAAGAATCGTTTGAACTGTCTGTTGAAAGATGGCGAGTAGCAGATTTACTCTATTTTGGGTTTTCATCGGACTGTGTCTAGTGGGAACAGTCGTTAGTTTGGTAGTCGATGAATACCAAAATAGTGATAAAAGTAAGTGGTTTTAAGGCACAAATTGCCTAATAAGTTCTCTGACTGATGCAGGGGGACAACCAATTTTATAAAATGGAGCTGCAGTAAAGATCGACTTCTCTTTTCGAACTCATTCTTAACTGATAAAGAACCTTTTTATATTCAGAATGGTTGCAGCCGTTAAGGAAAGGATATCAGGGGAATTCCCCTTATGGAGCATGATAAAACGACAGAAGTTGATTTGTTTGAGCCTCGAGTAATTTATTTGAATACAATATGATCACTACATAAGAATTTAACTGCATACTGGTCATAATGTATTTATAACATTTTTTTTTATAAACCCACCAACAAATTCTAAGAGAAATTACTCCTGCACTGAGTAAAGGATCTTCAGCTGTTAAAATAATATATTTAAGATTAAAACAATGTATCAATCTAGTCTCTTTTTCGAGAAGCCGGCGATGAACAGTGGACCTTTCTTAAAAAAATATTGATTATAATTTTATCAAGGTGGTATTATACTTAAAAAACAACTTTTTGTAATCACAATCACAACTTTACCCAAGACATATGTCAACAAAAATAAGCAATGACATTGAGATATTGGTTAAAAGGATAAAATAACTGAACGATATGTTTTATTTATTTATTTATACAATCAATAATCATATCACATGTAATCTACAAATGATTATCAGAATGTATTCTTCTATTATACTACTATACCAATGTACTTATTAATACAATTGAAATAATTACTGCACAAGTGTTTAAACTTTGTAAATGTTCTTGCTGTCTTGAATTCCCTCGGTAAGTCCTTTTATGAACCGATCGGTGGCGAAATGAGTCACTCAAAAAACTTGTAAAACATCTTTGGATAATTAATACATTTGATCTAGAAGATCGTGAGTCAATAAAGATAAATAAAGATCCATGATTTTAGAGTTAACAAGTCAAAATTATGCGTTTGGTACGATGCTTTAGTTAATAAGCTACCGAACGAAGTCAATGAGAACGCGTGGTATGAAGGTTTGCACCCTTTATTCCCAAAAACAAAAGAAGCGCTCCGACCGAATCAATTTTTATCTTCATCCGATAGGCCGAAGTGAATTCATTGGCGTTTCAATGGCGTTTCAATGCGTTAGGCCGAGTTTAGAATCCCTAGGCCGATTTTGGCATCAAGAAGCAGTGTTAGACTTTTGACAATATCTCAACGATTAGTTTCTCTTTATCAAATCTTACGATACTTACGGAAAGATAAATAAATTTAGAAGCCATCAGTAATAATACCATTCCGTTTGGTGCTAAACACCGCTTGATTAAGAAAGACTAAGTGTGGGTTGTGTTTAATAGGCCGGAAATGGGGTAGTTAACCCTAGTGCCATCACGGTTATTTATTTTTATCAAAGGAACTCCTTATAGGGTTAACTACCCCATTTTCGGCCTATTAAGCACAACCCGTACTTAGTATTTCTTGATCTAGCGCAGTTTAGCACCAAACGGAATGTTATTATTACTGATGGCTTCCATATTTATTTATCTTTCCGTACGTACCGTAAAATTTGATAAAGAGAAACCAATCGTTGAGATATTGTCAAAAGTCTAACACTGCTTCTTGACGCCAAACTCGGACTACGGATTCTAAACTCGGCCTAACGCATTGAAACGCAATTGAAATGCCAATGAATTCACTTCGGCCTATCGGATGAGGATAAAAATTGATTCGGTCGGAGCGCTTCTTTTGTTTTTGTGCAATATGGGTGCAAACCTTCATTTCACGCGTTCTAATTGACTTCGTTCGGTAGCTTATTAACTATAGTATCGTACCAAACGCATAATTGACTTGTTAACGCCGAAATAATGGATTTATTTGAAGTTTTCTGCTCGATAGGCCCAAAATGGGCAAAATGCTGCAGTTCGTACGATAACCTGATTGTAAAAAACAAAGAAGGTTGTTACCGTTCAGATATTCGTTAAGCTGTGTAGGTATAATAGATTCAAAAATGTTTGACTTGATAATGGATTATCGATCTTTCCAATATGAATAACTTTAGCCACTTTCCACGAATTTGGGAAGTCTGAAGTGGTCATACACAAATTGAATAAGTCTGTTATGTAAGGAATTGTAATACGCAATGAAGTTTTTAAAATATTATGTGGAATCAAATAGGTACCAACAGAATTGCATGAAGCAGCTGTTAGCAGGGCTGAAAAAATCACTAAAATTCATCAAAGTTCACTATGGATGAAAAAATCATTTCATAGTGAATGCTGGTGATTTTTTCATGACTTTTTCAACCCTGGCTGTTAGTACTTCCAAAATGTCGTTACTAACAGAAACTTCATTGGCTTGCACATTTTCATGGAATGTAGTAGGCACATCATGTGAAATAAAATAACAATCCAATGAAGTAGCAGTGACATCACCACCAGCACCTTTCGTGCACGAATGTTTTAAGCCCTATCACATTTAGTTGGAAAGCAAAATATTCTTGTTTAGTGCTTTTAACCTACGGTTAGTATTGCTGCGTAGTTTAGCACAATTATTTAATATTTGAGCATTATTTTTATCACGTTTCTAAAACACATGTTGATTAATCCATGGAGTTAAAGGGTCTCTGATAAATTTTCTTGTTAGAGGCGCATGCTGGTTTATGAGTGACAATAATCTGTTGTTCAAGTAGTCCAATTTTTCATTCTCATTGGAATAAGAATAGATAGTAATTAAATTAAATTCACATAGATCCCGTTTGAACGAATCTTGATTAACTTTGTAATAGTCACGATACCAATACGTTTTGGGTGGAGTTTTTGAGTTGTTCAAGTCATAATCACTAATACCACCATATCAAGTCATAATCACTAATACCACCAACAGAATACTGATAGACATTATTCACATTACTTGTACAGTTGCTGGTAATAATGTCAACCATATATGGGTACAACCAGGTAGATGAAGTATAGGTGATGAGTTTACTATTTTAACGGAGAGAGTATTTAGTTGCTCTATCATACTACGACATTTAGACGAATTTAAATCTAAAATATTTACATTGAAATAGCTAATTTATAAAAAGGTTAGGCGCAGTAGCAACTATTTCTGAAATAATTTTAAACACTGCACATTGGGAAAAATCGACTTAAAAGGAGCAAAATTCATTATCTCTGATCAGCGCTGATTTAACATTTGCAAATATAATCATTATAATGGGAAAAAGTCTCAGAAATCTAGTGGAAATAGTTTCGTCTTGTGCAGAATAGGGCAAGTTGGGGTTTTAGGAGCATTTTACTCTTATTTCTTAATATATTGTATAAATGACTTAAAAAATTGCTCATTGTGGTTAATATTCGTTCTGAAATATTGTCACTCTTGTAGATTAACATCTGGAGAATCCATTAAAAAATGGTTTCATACATCACCAGCCTGTGCAGATAATGCATTTTAGTCAATTTTACCCCTATTACCTTATTTTCGATATTTTTTAAAAGACAGCAGTCAATGATAAGAAAACCTGTCCAATGATAATCCTCCTTGAAGGAAAACACCTTAGGGATCCAAAAAATTACGTTTTAGATTACATCGAAAGGTAAGCTGATGTATGGAGACATTTTTTTTTCTTAATTCTCCCCTATTTATGAAGTTAATAAGTAGTGTTACACGGTTATACCGTTAGTGCCTGTCATACTATACCCTCGTAGACGGTATTGCTGCAAAAATGACTGAGAAATTGAATGGTGATAGTTTAATCTTTAGAGAATTTCAGTAAATTACCCATTTTGCCCAATTTCCCACTTTTACTGAAGAAAACAAGTCATGATATACTTTTATACGAATTAAGGCCAATTATTTTGATCGTTCGGGCACTTTCCCTCTGTAAAAATGTGTGAAGAATTTAATGGTGATGGTCTCATTTTGTGCTGACAAAAGCTTATTACCCATTTTTCCCGATTATCTCCTTTAATTTAATAAATCAAGTAGTTTTTGAATTCACGCATGTAATATTGAATACTCGTTTATTATATCATTGTAAATATGTTTAAAGTATCAAAAAATGCTTGTCTTATCTTGTGCAGACTTTAGATAATTAAACATTTTGCCTGATTCTCCCCTTTTATGGAATAAAAAAGTAAAATCATACTAAACCCTCAAGCACTGTCCTATTGAAAACATCTTATGGAGATAATCCTATTTTAAGTGAACCTCACATACCGTAGAAATATCATTCAATAACGTTAATTTTATGTGCGCTATATCTCGCAGAAATTTACATGAATTTTTCGAACAATGTACCTCTGTTTACCCCGGTCGTTTCTCTTCATGTTTCGATCCTATATTTTCCCATATTATCAATTTTATTAGCATCATAAGATATACTGTATTGGTTCTAAAATGTTGAGTTGTTCAATTTGTTTTTCGTGTTTAATGTATAACAGTTGTACATCTAGCATTCAGCACAACAGCAAACACTACAAATGTATTAATATTTATTCAAAGGAAGGGTTATAAAGCCTAAAGGGAATGGAACACACTTTTGAATAATTCGCATTGATAACAACACCTCTTCACGCAAAGACATAATACTTATTTTATCGCAGAAAAAAAAGTAATAACCGCGTTGTCTAACGCATGAACTCGATAGCATGCGAACTCGTACTAGATTACCCTTACTAAAAGCCGTGTATCCATTTAAGATACCGTAAAACGGGGTAACATTGATCAGGACTGGTAGTGAGTCACTTTTTAGTGACTTGGTCACTTTTTTCAAGCTAGTCACTAAAAAGTCTAATTTTTTAGGGTCAAGTCACTAAAGTCACTTTTTCTTGTAATCAGTCACTATTTTCAACTTTTCAGAGTGATTGACCATTCTTTGCTTTGTGACGTTTAATCGTCTTTCTCTAATCATCTCATTTTACTAAATAAAATTACCTGAGTCTTCTAGGTTTTCCAGAACTTTAATGGATGAATTCCAGGCTTATAATAAGAAAGCTATTTTTAAAATGCGTTCGAAATATGG